GTAAGTGCAGTTTTTTCCAGGCACATGGTTTAATGTCAACTTGTTGCAGTCCTTTCATTCATTTCTTCATCTTATTCTCACAGACTATGACTAATTTTGATTTAGCTTTTTAATTAGGAGCAAACGATGGGGGTAAAAATGGTCTTTTAACCAGACACATTTGAACAAAAATGAAAGAAACTGTGAGAAATAACCTTTATGTGCAGGGAAAAAGAGGTCTGCTTTTGTTATGCTTGCCAAATTACATCCCAAGAAAATGAATGTGAATCATCTCTCTATATGCACTTATGATTAATTTAAATGGAGAAAAGTGAAGTTAAACACAGAGGACTTTGAGGATGAGTTTCATTCAATGTTTACCTGCAGAGCTGCCTGAAGAAAAAGTCAACAAACTGTCTTATTTCTTAAGACTGCCTTCAAAAGCAAATTACACCCTTTACATAACCAGAATAAATTCCTCCCTTGCCACCCCCAATATATTTGGCTTATTGTGTTTCAATTGTACCCCTGTACAATTCTATTTTTCCAGCATACATCACCTCTTCACCCCTTTCAGTGCAACAAAATAAATGGTTTCCAATGGCAATGAAAATTGCCTTTCTAGTTATTAATTCCTTTGACTCCAGGCAAATTTTTACCAGAGATTCTTAGGGATTGATCTTGTTGCTGACTAGGAAGGCCTGATCCAAATGTCAGTCTGCGTAACAGGAGGGTACTGAGTTCAAACTGGCTTTCAGAATGAGGCTTTCAAACCTCAGTGACTGGAGAAAATTGCACATATTTTTCTTTGATCTTTCAAAAAGACCAGGGAATGCTTTCATATGGGAAATGAGGTAAACAGGCAACTCTGTCTCTTTTGGAAGCCAGCCAGCCTCTTCCAGATTTCTCCCACCATTTTCGATTCACTGTGGTGTCAAGTGGTTAAGTAAGAGAAGGCTGAGGAAAATCCCCACGGTGCATGAGCTGCATGGCCCGCCTGCATGCCAACCATCACCACCTAAAAACACGTGCACAAATTTCCCTCTCTATGCCTTCCTGTGAGCATACACTCCACAGAGGTGGGCAACAGTTAAATAAGCTAAAAAGTATCTCAAACATTCTTGCAAGACTGCGAGACTAAATTAGGGGCCTTCTCTCTGCTGTGCTACTTTTTCTCAGACAGAAGCACACACAGAGTTCTCAGCTGCATTATTGACTTGCTGTCCGTCTGTGAAGTTGGTTTAAGAAGTGAATGTTGGTTTAATTTTAAGGAAAGTTTGTTTAAACTATGCTCCTACCAGAGAAGAGGAAAAAAATTCTGTAACATCAATGGAAAGAGTTGGACAAGTAGGAGCTCCAGCACACCCTTGCATGCCTCTTGCAGTAATCCATAAATGTTGAGGCAGTTTCTTCAGGCTTTGAGCAATAGGTCCTTAGTACAAGGAGTTTCACATCCCAGTTTCCCTCATTCCTGCTCACTCCTAGCTCCCTGCCATGCACTGCTACCTTGTCTGCTTATGGGTCCACAGCATGGACTGAACCTCAGAACTCATATGCCTTTTTGGAAAACAGCCCTCATTGTGCATGAAAAAGTTTTATTTTAAGGCCAGGTTGTTTCAGAGTGGAGTCCCACAAGTGATTCAATGTAAGAAACAGTTGGAGAAAGGGGGAAGGTGACACTAATGATTCCTGACAGAACCAAGAAAGACAGCTACAACCCAAGACTAAGATTTGCAAAGATTTCCGATTGGTCTATGTAAAATACACTACAGAAATACGACTTTTTTTTTTATTAGAAATGTCATTCATTTGTTGCCCACATTTTCTGTTGAAGGGATTGAAGAACCTTCCTCCTCAAAATTACAAAAGCTACACTGACAGCCATCCTTGCTACCTTCCCATTTTTAGGAAAAAAATTTACTTTTAGAGGTCACTTGTAAACCTGGAGGCATCACCTACTCTAATTTGTAATGCTAAATGTCAAAGGAACAAAGTTTACAAGAATCAACATTTTTTGTGTATTTTAAATCTGTAAGTCTTAAGTAAGGATTTAACAACACAGCTTCAGATCAACCTTCCAAAACATTAATCCACTGCAAACAAAGATAATTAGTAAGTTCATAAGGAAAGATTCAAACAAGAAGTTTTTTATTATGATACTGTTGATGTATTCCAGGCTTTTCTTACAAGAGATGCAAAAGAGACCTATAAATTTATCTGCTGATGAGACTACCAAAAGAATGAAACTAACAGGCTTTTCACGTCTCTTTCTTGCTCTCCATCCAGCTTTGGAGGAGAGGATCCTCCCTGTCCATGGAAATCATTCACAGAAGCCAAGGATCATATTGATCAGAATATGACCATAAAGATCAGAAGTATCTGGTTTATAAGCAAATTAATGAATGAAAATTAGCTAAAGATAATGAATGTAGCTGGCCAGAACTACCTTCTATGTGTGAAAAGGAGGACTACCTTCTATGGGATTTTCTGGGATCCTACATCAGTAAAAATCTCAAGGAGCAGGATTCAAAATTTTTTCTTTCTGCTTTGAAATAATACCTGTGAATGTAGGACACTGAGTTGAGTGGCATATTTAGAATAAGTTACAAGATGCCATATTAAAATGAAGGAATAATTACAACAAATAAATAAATAAATATATAATCTCTCTTTTGCTTATGTACTCGATTCCTTTTTGTTTAGTATTATTGTGTAGGGTTTTTTAAAGGTGGTTTAAAAAAAATGCAAGGGATAACATGTGCCATAGTCCTTAGAAAGTGCCCTGAACATCATATATTGTCACATTTCAAAGAAGTATCTTGATCAGCTAATATTTTTTTATTCTGTCCTAAATACCATCTGTTCTATTGTAATAAAACTTTTGATGTTATTTACCTGGAGAGTCTATTCATCATCTTTACCAGATTATGCAACTAGAAGATAGGATCATAAGATTCCTCCAAGTTTAATGTTCTTTCACTGAAGTCCAAAATTATATTCCTGTAAATATGCTATGAATGAGGTCTCAGGTTTTAACAACGCTCCACCTACCATATCCACTTTAATAACAGCAGAAATAGGCACATGTTGTACTACATATATAATTTTTTCCCCTTCTTCACATTCAGCTCTTCTCTCATTTACTTCTTGCCTTGCCCCTAACACCTATGTCCCACTCCAGCCCTTGTGTCCCTATTCCCCTCTTTCCAGTGCACAGTACAAAGTTCCTTTGCCGTAAGATTAACGTGCCATATGTTACCATCTGCTCCAAAGGGTGTCCTCAGAAAGCGGAAAAAGGACATATTTTCACTCTGTGAAGAATCAGACTTTGATATAGGCATGACTATTCCCACACTGAATATAAAAAACATCCCATCTCAATAGGGAGAGGTGTAAAAGTTGTCCATTGTAAAAACTAGATGAGTCATGAAAAGTATTCAAGATATAAAAGCTTATGCTATTGTTAGTGGCATGACTTTTGACCATACATATTTGTGAAGGGGAAGCTGCACATCTAACCATGCCAAAGGCATCAGCTGGTACAGAATACCCTCACAACATGATGTCATGTAGAGTGATTTATACGCTGTTTTGAACACTGTTTTAGATTTAGAAACTTTTGAACAAGTTTTAAATTAAACTGTTACTCTATCCATGCATCTCCATACAAAAAAAAAAAAAAAAAAGCTTCAGCTATTTAACAGTTCACTGTAATGATGGAAACATGGTTGCAGCAATCTGCATGCAAATTCTAACTTTTTTTTTTTTTTTAATGCTGCAGAATAAGTTCTCTGCATATCTGTAGGAGGAAAGACATCTCGACATTATACCACTGGACCAGCATCTCCTCAGAAGGGGCTTTGAATAGTATAAAGCCTGCCAGAGAAATATAGTGTGCAGGAAGGGCAATCTGCTCTCTCTTGGTTGTAACAAAGCCAGCAGCATCTGCCACTGTTCAGCAACGTCACCACCACTACTCAATCTCTTAACATTTTTCATTCTCAGATTGTATTCTGAGCCTGCCTTTCAGCATCTGTCTCTTTGAACAGAGGCAATGTGGTGAGGTCCTAAAATTCATCACAGAACTTAATTCCATAAAACTCCTTAAATGGTGGTGTCATTAGGCAAGGCCTGATGAAACTTGCCCTTAAGACAGTATCAAATTCTAGTCACTTCTAGCAAGATGAACTCAATTCTATCAGTACAAGGAATAATGAAATCAAGTGCGCTTTTCCATAGCATTTCCCTTTAATCACATACTCTTCTGAACTCTGGATAAAAGGCTTAAGCTTTGTGTCAAATAAATTAAAAGAGGAAAAAAATTTAGCACACAGTTCTAATTTTCTGGACACCTGATGGAGCATAAATATGTGAGGGAATTCAAGGGAACTTCCCTTTCTCTCTCCCAAAACCAATGCCCATAGGCAGAGGAAGAAGTGGTGCAATACTCCATTGAGTACTGTAAAAACAATAAAAAGATATCTATTTTGAGGAGCTGGAACAATTTGCATTCAAATATTAGCCAGAATTGCATATTTTCTAGTACCTGTGTCTCTCTGGCTCAGACATTAAGCAGGAACACATTCTGACTCAGCTACAGTTTCAAATGATGATTTAGCTCTCATCTGTACTAAGACCAGATGCTTTCTCACTACCCATTGATTCTAAAATAGTCATAATTATTATTCTACATATTAGTAGATAAACAAAAATAAATAAATCTCAACTAAATTGAATTTAGTTTGGAGACCCCAGGTCAAGCACTTTTACCAATGAGTGGCCCTAGAGCACACACCATCTGTGTTTTAAAATATGTTTTCAGCCATTGACAACATGATGCTACTTCAAATGCTACTTCAGACCCAGAAAAAATGTAAAATTATTATTAAGTAAAGTTAAAGTCTATACTGTTGACAGCTGACTGGCAAAAATGCAACGACGTCAAACTATCATCATCCATCAATTAGACCACACCAGAGTATTTCCAAGGCATTTTTGTATGGTAAAAAGCAACCTCTTACCTTCAGTGTGTACAGCAGAAACATAAGTCCAGTTATAGCGTTTGACAATGTCCACCATCGCCTTTGCTTGCTGTGCGTCAGATGGCACCACTCTCATAAAATACTTGAACAGAGTTTTGTCACTTAGGTCCATGCTTGTGGCAGAATAAGCAATCTGAGGTATATTGAAAAGCTGCAACAAGTTCTGGACCTGGATAGCAACTGAGCTGGAGCCAGGCCCAATGACACCAACAATGGGTTTCTTGGAGCGGAAAGACGATGATGATCCATCCACACATCGCACCATCCCTTCCTCTTCTTCTGAAGAAATGAGAGAGTCCCTTATAAATTCAATGCTCTGCTCCAGAGCCACAGCAGAATGCCAGCAGGAGTCCCTTATTTCACATCCTAATGTTATGTTTGGCAACAGTGTGGGGTCCAAATTAATTCTGTCAAGGGTATGTAGCATTGCCTCCACTCTCTGAATACCATATTGCTCTCTTACCTCTCCACATTTCCTCTCATGAACTTTGTCAACAGTTGGTTGGTGATGGACAGAGAATAGAGCTCCAATGATAATATCACCAGGCATGTGTGCAACCACTCTTCTCTCATTTGCCTGTGCTGAAACCAAAAGCCCAAAGTTCCCACAGACATCTTCCTTCAACAGCAGGATTGCAAGGAACAGCAAAAGGACCATTTTAGGAAATTTTAGGCTGGTAGAGACAACATGATGGAAAAAAAGTTGGAGAGCTGATGAAAAGCAGTTATCAAATCTTCTGGACAGAAGGAGCACTATACTGATTGTTAACCAGGAGTTGGCATCTGTCCTCTAAGGAGTCACCATCATCTCCAAGTGGACAGCTATGCAGAGCTGCACACGAGGTCATAATCCTCATACCCTTCAAAAATTAATAAATAAGAGAAAGATCTTTAAAATTATTTATAAAGTCAGCAAAATATGTCTTATATATTAAGATACAATATCTTACAATCTCTTCTAAAATTACACCTATTTCTACAGCAATCAATACCTGTAATACATTGTCTACTGCATATGCTTGCTTTCATCATTTTCAAGCTAGAAAACTTAATTTCACTTGAGTGTTTTACAATCTTAGGCTTCTACTTCTGCTGTCTTAAATCATCTTTTTTTTTGACAAACATGTATAAAAATTCTTTGGGGAAATGTTTTCAAACACACAAAAGACTGGCAAGCATTTAGTTCTACAGAAGAAAGGTGTGTTGCCATTTCTAACACGTCTTCGAAAACAACTCCCTTTAATTTCAGACATTTTCTATGTCTCTAATATGCATATGCCACACTAATATAACCTTGGCTGCACTCTATTATCCATTCCAGCACTAGGAAAGTGCTGTTGACACCCAAAGCTGTTATTCTGAGGAATGTAGAATGTATAAATCTGTTTTTATTTTGCAAGATACAACATGAAATAAGTTGGCTTTTAAGCAAGATTAAGAAAACTGTTTTTGTTATTAATATTTACATTTGTTTTAAGCAAAGAAACAATAATTCTAAAACAGCAAAGCAATAGAATTATTTTCACCTTTCACCTTTTGCATCCTTACTTCAAAAATCATCAAAAAGCAATTTGAAAAATCCTTATACTGTACACAACCCTACAGACTCCACTGGTATCAAGAAGTCAACACAAAGATGATACAGACGCACTAATCCCCAAAATATTTGATCAGCTGCATTTACCTATAGACTGAAATGCAATCTGCACTCATCTTCGCTGTTGCTGAAGGACAAATAAATAAATAAATCAGCAAACACTTCACATCTTGGGCTGTGGTTACCCTGTGGAACTAGAAAATATATTTGCATCTGGAAATGGATTTGTAGCAGAAGGTTTCCAGTTTTAAATATAGTGCTTAAACAGTTGTTTGCCAGGTCTTGATCCCTGAGCACATTAAATACCATCTTACCTGTCAGTGAATACACTGGTAGTACAGAAATGTAAGTGCACTTTTAAATCTAAGATGCTGAGCTACATAGGGAACCAATATGTCCAATTTCATTTTTAACAAAACAACTGCAAAATTCTGGGGAAGACCCCAGTCTCAGTTTTATTGACATAAATCTTTTGATGCAATAAAAAAATTAGAATTTCATACATTTCAGACACCACCAATCACTTCTAATCCATTAACAATGACTAACAGCACCTACTGTAAAGTGAAAGAAATCATGGCCATAGAAAATCTACCTCTGGTTCTTTGAGTTGAAAATCTCACAGGATTTTAATCTTGAATTTACTCCTCAAAGCTAGTTCATTCAATATAGTGACGCAATTAAACTCTTCCTGCTTTTGAAGATGAGAAACACAAATATAAAAACATTCTTCTGCTTGATGCTTGAGGTTTTCTCTATTATTTTACCTAGATGTATAAATTGTAAATTATTTTTACAGAGGAGTGAATGAGTTTGAGTGAGTATTCCCAAATAAATATAAATCCTTAAAATGAGGAAGCATTTAATATAATATTTAAATGTTAATTGCAATATTAATAAGTTCATGTTATATTAATTTTAGTAATATAAAGTGCTAAAAATAAAATAAGTTTCAAACAACTGTAAAACACTTCAAGAAGGTTTGGGTTTTTTTATTCTGTGAAGAGTAGGCTTATCAATACTGCAACCCTTTGCCATTAAAGAATAACAGCAATTCAGTTCAGGTTAATTAGTCCCTAATTACAGACTATCTATTGCTTATGTCTTGCAATTATTTATTCCATCACTCTGAAGTTGGTACCATATAATTTGACCAGTCAAAAGGACGAGCTACAAGGGATATCCTTGTGCAAGATCAGAGCTCTTAAATTCTTATACCTTTAATTAATTGAATGTGTTACGACTTTTAAAAAAAATTAATTATTTATAAACTTACTAACATTTGAAATGAAATAGTACTCTCTTACTTAACACCATGGATACTTATTTTTCTGAACTTCTCAAAGTTAGGCTACATATCCAGAACACGAGTATATATAGACAAGTGCCAGCTCTGCTGCAGACTGTAACTGGATATACAATTAGATGCCTTTGTATAACCTACCTGCCTTTGAATCTGCAGGTATGCAAACAGAGAGAGTTCAAACAGGGGCTTGGGATGACCTTGTGGTACAAAAAAAATCCAATCCACCATTTTAATTCTGCTGCACATATTCACCAAATTTTTTGGTCTTGTGTCTATGGATTAAAATTTTCCATACAGAATATATGAGAAAGAGAGGGAAGGAAGACCATTTTAACTTCCTTCCCTCCAAAGAGCAGCTGTTTGCTCTTCTCTGCTTATAGTTGTGTCTATCAGTAAAAAAATAACAGGGTAAAGAGTGAGACAAAGCTGAAGGTCTCCTTCATATTTCTGGTTCCACAATACTAGGATATATCATAGCTGGGGGATTCCTATTTCTGAAAGCAATAAAATCTTTCCCCTCCATGGCATCCAAGGGGAAAGAAGGGTCCAGATGCAGGCTACAGCTGCTCCACAATTAATGAATTGTCTTCTCTTTATTAAAGCTAAGATCAATTTACTTGGGACTTAAAATGTTCCTAATTACACTGAGAACACTGTTTCTGTTTTATAGTATCAGGCTTAGGATCCACATCCAAAGCACCTGAAGTCAATATTTTCACAATGTAATGAAACAACTTGGAATTTATTTTGACAAATATTTCAATGTATTTGTGTTGCATTATAGAGATCTGGTTCCCTGGTCTTGCACTCATAAACTTAAGAACAGAATGGATGAGGTGAAAAGGCACTTCAGGAAGTTATGTGGTCCACTCCCTCTGCTTACCGTAAGTTCAATTAAAACAAATTTCTTAGCTTCATGTCCTGTCAGGTTCTTAATATCTCTGAGGATGGAGACACAACAACTCTTTTGGGCAACCTGTTTGACCATAGTCACAGTAAAAATATTCTTTTAATATATATTTAAACAGAATTTTCAGTGTTTCAATTGGTGTTTATTTCCTGTCATCCTTCTCATGGGCACAGCTGGCCATGCCATGAGGAGATATCCTGAGAATAATCAGGTAACAAATCCTATTTCAGGCAAAATGACTGAGCAGAGAGCTGATAGACTAAGCACACTAATTATATTTCCTGGAGAAAGTCTTCCTGAAGAGAAGATGGCCAAGGGAACTATTCAAATATACAATTTCACTGTGCTTCTCTCCCAGAAGAATCACATACAAGTCCCTCCACATTTTCATTACTATTCTTTCTTACTACAGGCAGCTTATTATTACAAACAGGATCAGTACTAAAACAAAATTAAGTAAAATTTCATAAGCTTAAGTATAACTCTTGTTTAATTTGTTAGAGATAATCCTAAAGGGAATTTGACATGCTATAGTGCTCAGATTGAGAACAGAGGTATCAGCAGTTTCAAAGACAGTGAACTCCTGAGTGCATGCACAAAGTAATGGGAATTGTTTCCCAGTTAATAATTTATATGTTTTGTTTCCATTGATGGGCAACTTGCACAGCACTTACAGTCACATTTATTTTGCACACTGTTCAATTTCTTCATCATCAGTGGACTTATCCCAAATTTACAGAAACGTAAGCCAAATGGGATGAGGTACTTATTTACTGGTGTGTCAAGGTTTCTTGCTTATTTCTGTTATGGATCTAACTACAAACTTATCCTGAAGTCACAGGCTTTAACAACAGAGGACACTTTGGTCTCAGTCTTTGGTACACTAACCTGAGGCTTGGAGCAACTGCAGAAGAAGTAGGACAGAAAAATAACATGGCCTATCTGTCCTTTGTTGAGTCTTGCCCTAGACAAAAGTTTACATACTACCCAGATGACTGAAGACACAGACCTGATGAAGCACTCAACATGTTCCTGTGACCTCTGTTCTCCCTAGCAATGTAAACTTCATGCCAGACTCTGTCAGAAGAAATTCTCAGCTGTTCCCTTAGGGCAGAGTGCCAGCTACTTCATGTTGAGGTTTAACCGAGTAGAAAATGAGCATCTGTAATATTCCATGAAACATCATGGAAATCTCTCATTATTAAAAATACATAAATCTTTCAAAATCATACCAATCTCAAATTCATATCCATCTGCACTTGTTGTCTGTAAAGACCAAAAGAAACAAAAAGCGCTCTAATATCTAAGGGCACTAATTAAACAACTTGATCAAAAATCAGACTGCAAGCAGCAGTTCACAAAGAGCTGATTTTCCACTATATTAGTGGCTGAGAGTTTTTACAAGGGATGCATCTGACTGCTGTTAAGGGCTTCTGCTCCCGCAGGTGTAAGTGTGTTGAAAGCTGCAGGGTGACCCCCTTTCTGCCGGGGCTTGCATCATTATAGCAGCGCCCACTAGCGAGCCCGCAGCGCGGCACCTGCGCTGCGCAGTCCGAGCCCTCCTGGACCTTGGCCTCTAGCAGGCAACACATCCACTCGGCAGAGGGACATGGTTTTATTTATTCTCATCTCTATCATGGGGGGAAAAAATATAAATAAAAGGGAGAAGTACCAACGCTTCCCTTTGTGTTTCTTGTTTGTTGCACTTTCGTAAGTTTACAGCAGGCTCGTTCATATTTTCTGAATCTCCGGGCAGATTTAAATAATAAAAATAAAACATTGGATTATTTAATCAAAGAACAGTGCTGTAATAGAACTCATGGCCCTGTCCAGGAAAGCACTTAAGAAAATGTTCTGTGCTTGTCAGAAGAAGAATACTATTGGTCAAATATCTGTAAAGACTTATCTAAAGTTTAAGGGTCTCCTTAAAGGATTTTTAGGATCAGAAAAATCACAAAAACTAATGTTCTTAAAATCCATTCACTAGTAGTGACAAAATTTACTTATATGTTGTGTTTGTATAACTTTAAGCCATTGTACTTGCTGATTAATGCTTTCTAGGCATTAATTTACAATACCTACCACAATTAATTTAAATCCAGAACAAATAAGATAATATATATGGATATGGATCAAATCAGTATATTCCAAGGAATTAACCTATGTTTTGTCATCAGAGAAGACAAAACCATAGCAAGCAGCAACTGAATTACTGGTTCAGAGTCAGTCATGTCACTTCTCTCACAGTGAAGACTTTACACTAGCAAAATATGGAACAGCCTTAGAAACAGTTACATAAAGAGAGTGACCTCTCAGCTCATCTTGATTTGGACCAATGTTAGGAGAAAGTACACTCAGGATGCTAAGCTTTGCTGAGTTCTGCTATGACATTTCAAACTCCAAGCATTACATTCAAGCTGTTCTGGCAATCTATCTCCCAATGTTCTGGGGAGGCTCATTTTGCAGGAAGAGGTCCCCCCTACCCATTCCTCAGAGATAATGCACTTTGGTCACACAAAACCTGATGCTCTCAAATGGTCTTTATTTGAAAATCAAAATATATGAGCACCCTCTTCTGTTTTGAGATTTCTACTATGGTTTAATTTTTCTGTCCCCAAATAAAACAAAACAAAACAAAACAAAAAAAATCAAGCAAACATTTTTCATTTTATTATCAGTTCTGCAAATTCCAGTGGACATTAGATCAAGCTCTTTGACAAAAAAAAAAAAAAAAAAAAAAAAAAATAAACCCGGCTTCATGAGAAAGGAGAGACTACAAAAAACAGTTTTCCATAATTCCACTTAGAAATATGAAAAAGCTGAGCAGCAAGGAAGAATTTTTACCATTTGATAAGAACATCCACTGGAAATGACAGACTGAAGTGTTGATTTCTTCATAGCTAATAACCAGAGAATCCTTTAATTATCAACAAGATCCTCAGCAATCTCTGGAAGTTCTTCCCTGTGTTGTGTTTACACACGCTTTCAGGTTGCTGAAACAATTTTGGCTTTAATATGTAGATGCTTAACTTCCCAGGGAAACTTACGATGATCTCTGTAATTTTGCCAAATGTACTACATATTGCTGCTGTTACCAAAACCCACTTACACCATGTGATGCAGGAACTAATAGCCCAGGTGTGTTTTCATCTATAATCCTAGACATTTTAACAATTAATAAAACTGTATGGGATGGAGGAGGTGATCAAGAAAAGGCAATATCAGTTTCAGAAAACATTTTCCAGCAAGTTGCAACAAGAGTGGTTATGGTGGGATGCCAGTACTACCACTATGCCAGCAACGTCATAACAATGCAGGAAGATAAAATGACAGAAAAGCCATATAGAGACCCAAAAAATACTCTGTGAATATTTGAAATAATGATCAATGCTGTGATCATGTAACATGAATATTAAAATGTAGTCAAAGTATTTGAGAATTCACAAAAGATTAGCATGCAATAGAAATTTTTAGGAATATGGTAATTAAAAAAAAACAAATGATAGGGAATTTAAAGAGCCTGGCAGTTAACTCCTCTATACATCTTTCCCTTTCAGGATTTAGGGTGGTGTATTTTCAAGACGATCCTCTGCCACTTTTGAGATGATCCCCTACATTTTCTTCAAGACTAGGAGAAAGAAACGTCCTGGCTCTCCCTACTGTACCCAGTCACCCCCTCCCCACCACCGGAAATTGCTTCTCAGGGAAGAGACGGGATGTGAGTGGGGCTGCCGGGGCGGTGGAGCCCCAGGGTGCGGGACAGCGCAGCCGGCGGGCGGGGCAGCGGGCAGCGAGGAGCGGACGCTGTCCCTGGTGCTGAGCACCGCCCGCCGCCGGCGGCTGCCGCCAGGCAGGTCTGGGGAAGGGGAAGACAAAAATAAAACAACCTAGAACTCAACCGGTGGTAGAAATTGCCACGGTGGTCACATTTGGCAGGCAGGATCGCATTTTTACAAATAAATGCATAGATCTGGGTCTTAGAGAAAACTACTGAACGAGGTTAACTCCCAACATAGCCACCTGCGCTGCCACAACTAAGCGGCTGTGCACACAGACAGACATGCATGTGTGCATCCACACTGGGACTTAGGTCTCTGTCTCCTTGCTCGGCTAGTGCTATCACTGTCCCCCTCAACCTATAATGAATCATTTTTGCATGTGGGGGGATTATCTTTGGTTATTAAATAAGTAACAGACGGGACTCACCAAGCAGAGCCAAGTGATTTGTCCCAAGGTCACACAGAAAAGTCTATGGCTGAGCTAAGCCTGGCTGTCTCTGGAAAACAAATACATTTCCATTTCCATTATACCTTTCTAGCAAGACAAATCCCCACTTGTGAGCAGAGGGACTGTATCACACACATCATCACATCACCAAGCCCAGGTATGACCGTACCCCCAGTCCCTGCAGCCCCACAAAAATCACGCTCCTAGGGAGGGATCAGTGCCAGCTGCCCTCCAGCACCCTGCCCCCGTGATGCCCCTGCAGCCCCTAGAGAGACACCCCACCAGTTGGCTTGTTGGTGCCCCAGGAGTTGTGCTAGTCCTCCATCAACCAGGGCACAGAGCAAAAGCAAGAAGGGAAGGAGAGGGGGGGAAGAGTCCCTCCTTCACCCACAAGGTTTCTGTCCACAATCCAGGGCACATAAATACCCTCTCCCAACCCACAGCATTACCTTGTCAGTGGCAGCAAGTGCTTCTTCCCACAGTGGTGGCAAGATGGTCCTTTTGGTGGCAATAATTAAGACAGGTAGGGGTAGGCACCTCCTATTTTCAGCCACGGCAGAGACAGCACTCTTCACACAGACCTTCTGGAGCTGAATAATCCTCAAATGCCTCTGCAAAGATCGCCAGCAGGTGAGCCCCACTCGGCTAGCATTGTCACTCCTCCAGCTATGGGCACATCCTATTTTCTTCTGATCACAGGCAAATGCTGAGGACCGAGTATCCTACCCCCGCGAATGCATGCACATACACGCCATGCAACACGCTGTTCTCTCAGCATCGCCCAAATCTCATTTGCAAGAGGCGTGAACGGTGCCTGGATTTAAGGGAGGGGGAAGGCATGAGGAGGAGGAATAAACAAACAAACGATGAAACAACAGATGGGTCTTTGCTCTCTGCCACCACAGCCTTGGTCTTCCTAAATACTTGCTGCAGCCTGACCCACCTGCTTAAACACCTCCGCCCTTCCTCACATTTGCAATCTCTCTATGTTTATAGTGAGCTAACCCGGCGTTCTGCCCTGTGAGGAGATCTCTCCAGATGCTCGGAAGGTTGTAAAGTCCCCCTACAAACAGACACCTCTCTCTGACACTACGCTCTGGCAAGTAAGAAAGCGGTAATCGGTTCAGAACAGCATCATCCAAAGGCAGGAAGAAAAAAAAAGAAAAAGAAAAAAAAAAAGAAAAGAAAAAAAAAACTGTTTAAAACGGAGCCGCGGGGAAGAGTTTACCCCTGCGGTACCGGCGACCTTTTGCAAGCTGCCCCCCCCCCGAAGTTTGCTGTCCTCCCAGGTGGCGGTGCCGGGCTCCCGGGCACTCCGCTGCCGCACCGGACTGGGGGACGAGGGGGCTTTTTGTATGGACGAGCACCGGGCTTCAGCACAACTTTTTAGTGCCACCAAGTGGCACAGATCCCTCCAGGAAACCAAGCAGCATGCCAGCTTGGGCTCTGCCTGCTGCTCTCTGGCAAAAGGAGAGAGGGGGATGCAAGAGCAGCCACCAGCCCTCTACACAAAAATGCACACACAGAGACGGAAATATCAAGCAAAAAGGAGGGACGAAAGGACAGGTTGCCCTCTCCAGCCCTGGTGCCTTGCGTCGCCTGCAGGGTGACAACACTGGGCACGGCAAGACGAGGAGCGATGCCCCCGCCAAGGGCAAACCCAGCTGCCAGCCCCTCGGGCGGGTTGTGCCCCCTCCTTCTGTCCCCCGCTGGCTGCCCCCAGCCTCTCCCCACGGCAGGGGTTACCTGCAGCCACCCTTTCCTGCCCGCCTCTCTCCCCTCTGGCATGCCGGGCTCCCAGGACCCAGAGGCTCTGCAGTTCCCTGCCAGCCCTCTGCTTCCTCAGCCAGCATCCCTGGACCGTATCTGCAGACCTACGGACAGGCTTTTTATTTGCTTACATTCTGCCCACAAGCTCGGTACCCTCCGAGCCCTTCCGCTTCCCCGCCCTCCCACAAATACCACAGCAACACTGTCGCCTGCTGACTACCTGCTGCCCGCAGAGCACATTTACCTTTCCTCGGTTAACCCTTCCCTTCGGAAGCCAGACGAAGCTTTACCTTCTCCTCCGGTATCCCTGCACTTAATCCTCTCCTCTCCCTCTCTTCCCCTTTTCACGGCTCAGCCCCACACACCCGGCTCCTGCTTCCATTCACACCCAGCCATCCCGCACGGCACCGCACCGCTCTGTGCATCCAGCGGGGTGGGCACGACGGCTCCGAGCGTGGGGAGGGGGGCTGTGCCGAGGCGTGGGTGGGTGGGAAAGGTCCGCCGTAGCCTGAGCTCTGACAAACTCAACACATCCCTGCACAGATACTGCAACCAAGGAACCATGACAACACAGTGCCAGACAGAGATCATCCCTTTATTCAAAGCTATTAAAAGCAAATAAAACAAATAAATAAAACAAAATAAATTAATAAATAAATAATAAAGCAAAGTGCCATTTAAGTAAGAGCTGATCTGGCATTTAAAAGGCTGCTGACTATTTACCAGGCTGTATTTGCAGGGAAGGATTAGCTCGCACATCCATTTTCAAGAATTAACAGCCTTTCTCTGCCACTGCTCCACAGCTTGACACTTCCTGCTGGTTCTCCCCTCTTTGGGTTGCTGCTTAAAATACCTCTTTTATTTTTTTTAAAGCAGCTGCTGAATGACCCAAATCCCAGCCACTAAATGATGTGGCTTCCCCAGTGTGACTGCATTGCCATGTCCAACCTGCACTATGTCCTCCTCACATCCCTGCCCCTCCAAGTTAACTTTGATAAAGTTGCTAGAGCATAGAGGAAAAGTCTTACTATGACTCCATCCGTGCCCCTAATTCCCTGTGATCCCTTTATTGCTGTCTCTCTCCCACCAGATTACCAGCTTGACTGCTTCTTTCATCCCAGATTGTGAAGGACAGATATCCCACAGTCCTTACCAGATGTGGAGTATGGCCTCTTTCTCCTTCACATCATCCTTCAGTCCCAGCCAGGGCCTGGCTGGGAGCCCATCAGCTGGCACCTGCTTCACACCCTTACCCAGCTCTCCTGGCTCCTTCAGTCATGGAAGCCCTGGAAAAGACCAGGTCTTAAGCAGAGGACACTGTGAGTGTGTGTGACTCTGTCTCTTTTTTTCCCCTGTACAGTTCCAAGAGCTTCTGTGCTGGTGCATAAAGGAATCAAGGTGGGTTATTACATGACAGGGGACACCCGAATAATTACCATTTCTGTCACTGCCCTGGTGGGCTGACAGATAAGGAGCATCATTCCTTTTCCTCCCTAGACCCATGCTTCTCTCAGACACTCGTCGTTCTCATTTTTCACTTCTCTCAGACTCTCTTTTTTCTCATTAACCATGTGCTGTGAAATGGCTAGAAGGTCAGGGGACTGGAGACAGAGAAGAAGAAGGGGCATATATCTGTAGAAAAGCACAAACAGACAGAAGGAGGGGAGGGTTGTGTCTGTTGAAAGGAATGATAAGACCAAAAGCAAAGTGGTGCTGCTGTGCACAGGGGTCTGGAAGAAATCAATGTTGGATGAATTGGGGCAGAGGGGAGGTGCCACTGCTTTGCTGGGCTGTCACAGCAGTTGTCTGCCTTCCCCTGGGACTGTGTGTGTGATGAGGTAGTTAGAAAGCAGGCACATCTCATTGGCAACAGAGACAGCCAGCTGGCTGGCAGGGAACAGGGTGACCCCAGCAGGAGATGGAGAGGATTCCCACACAAGCAGGACACACAGATCTGTGTAGAAGTAGCCAGGGGGGATGCAAAGCAGCTCCTACACACACATCCCCAAGGATCCCCTGTGAATCACAGCCCAGAGTCAGAGTTCATTGTGCCAGATGTTTGGAGCAGCTGGATCAAAGATTAAAGGAGGCAAGCAGAATGGATGGGGGCGGCCATGGCATTTGCATTCCTAATGCCTCTCGTTGACCCTTTAAACGGGGTCCCAATAAATACAGATATATAAAATGTTCTCCTCCTTTGCTCTCTTTCTCCTCTTTCTGCCCTGCTTCCTTTCCATCATTCTCAACCATTTCACAGAATCCATAAAATTAGCTGCTATCTTCTCTACTGATGGCAGATTCAGTTTCCCCTACTACCAAATTCCCCCTCCTATTTTGATACTATTTTTAAAGTTAATAAAAAGAAAGCTTGAAAGCTTTGCCTTCCTGTTTACAACAGCACCAGCAAAAGAGAAATAAACTGGTACCTGAATAAGGAGACATAATGACTACAATTTACAAGCCCACCGTTGGTAATACTCATTACTTCTGTGGCAGTAGCACCTATAAATACTCACACATTGGCAAGGCTGTACATTTGCTGTATCTCTGCACTCTGAGGAACTTGTACATACAGAAAATTGCAGGGGGAAAAAGAGTATGAGTAAGTCTTTGGTATAATCAGTGTCTCTGAAGAGCATCCTAACCACACTAACATTTTAAGACAGAAAATAAGGAGGCTAAGAGAATACTAATTTGGATTCTCCTCAGTTCCAGAATTAATAAACCTTGTGGGACAAAGGCAGAACAATCAAAATGTGGACAAAAAAGTGTTGTTGTATTGACCAAATAAAACAGGTGTCTGCTTTCTCACAAAGTAATCTCTAAAACAAAGGGGAAAAAAGGAAAAAAAATGGATGTTCTATGTTTGTATGTATATTTTATATATATGTATGTGTGTATATATATATATATATATATACACATACATGGCAGTATTTGCTCCTTTTTGGATAAGATGGAATAATCCAACATGCTTATGGTTCATGACATGCTTAAAATCAAGAAAATTACTCTTGCCTCCCTAGCAAGTATGCTAATGGTAAGTCTGTTACGTAGGAGACAAAAAAGGAGCAAAGTATGCTATGCAACACATATTAAAAGAAAATCTATCCTGCTAGGGTATAATAATACTTTTAGGATCCTTATCCTTAGTTTGTGTTATGCTTCCAGCCTTGAGGAATGCAAGGCCTGATTTCATATGCCTCTTTTGTAGACATTTATATACAAACTTCATATTCTCCTAAGAGTTCTCTAGTTTCAGCCACCATAGGGTTAAGTTCTTCTCAGTGGCAGTTACATTGCTGTGTTTTGGATTCAGAATGAGATATTTTGAGGTTTTGCTAAGTCATGTTTATCCTAATTCAAGGATATTTTTTTCTTGTCTCTTGCTCTGCCACTGCATAAAAGAAACTGGGAGAGAACATAGTTGGGACAGGTGACATGAACTGACCAAAGGGATATTCCAAACCATAGAACTGTCATGCCCAGTAGATAAACTGGAGGGAGTTACCCAGAAGGGGAACAAATCTGGGGTCAGGAAGAGGAGTCTGACACCGGTCAGCAGATGGTGAGAAATTGAATTGTGCATCACTTGAGTTTTCCTAAATTGTTATCATTATTATCATAATTTACAATCATTACCATATTTTTATTTGATTTTTGATGATTAAACTGTTCCTGTCTCCACCCTGAAGTATTATTTTGACTCTCCTCCCCATTCCACCAGACTGGGGCTAGGGAAGAGGGGGGGTTGAGTGACCAGCTGTGTGGTGCTTAATTTCCAGTTGGGCTTAAACCATTACAGAGTGAGTACAGGAATATTTTCTTTTTTAGAGTGCAGTTCATGTGACCAACCTTAAACATTTTGTTTAGGATGACAAAGAGGGAGACATTAAGATGCATCCACTTCTCAGAGATTCCAAAGTGAACCTATTCCTCGGAGGGATATCCATAGCTTGAAAGCACCAGTGCGCTTTCAAGGAATCTGACTATTTTTTCAT